ATGTCTGTTAAAAAAAAACAACCAAAATTTTAATGAAAGCAGAGAAAACACAAGAGACACATCCACTGGACTTTGCTTGAAAGAGACTAATTCAGATTAAACTAAGATTCAATCTAAGACACTGAACCAAAGAACACTAGGAACTCTAGGATTCCTAGAGCCATTTCGTCAGGAAATACATTTTCCTTAGCTCCCTCTTCCAAGGTGAAACAGGGACAGCCTTCTTTGGTTAGTGGAGATTTTTTTTTTTTCACCTGACTACCGGGTGCCTCCACTTCAGGCAGACATCCCCTGAGCTTTCTAAGGAACCCTTCTCTGACTTTCTAGTCTCATTTTCAATATTAGACTCATTTTCTAGTCTTTTGGGTGTTTGTTCTCCCTCTCTGGTGATCTTGGCCCTACTTTCTCTTACTCTATTTGGCAACAAATATCTGTGTAAACTTTGGCTTAAAAGGAAAAATGTAAAAGAGGGCAGGGAGGATAAAGGAGAAGTTAAGAAATGCACACTACTGCTCTTAACGGTCTCTGAGAGAGACTTAAGATTTGCCAGTGCCTTGACAGCCAACCTTGGCGAGAACTGTGAACAGAGAACATCTGTAGGAAAGAGTTTTAAGCAGCACTCTGGAGAGCCCCCTATCCTTTCATGAGGATAGGTAACCACCACAAAACCATAGCTTAAAGGGGGGAAAAAAAATTCTACCACTGGCCTTTTTCCGAGCGTGGCCGCCTTCCGCTCGGTTCAGTGCCCGCCACATGCCCAGGAGTGCGTCTGGATCCTTGCGGGGTGCCCTTCGCAGGTGGACAGTGCTTATGCTATACTGTAAGAAAGCCAGAAAAGTGCCCATGAGAACCAGAAAGGATTTCCAGCCAGTAGGATCATCTCTCTAGGCGTCTAAGATGGGAAAAATCATCACACATGACTGAGCAGCATCTGTATGCCAGGGAATCATCCGTATCCTCTGGTTAATGCAATGGTGGGAGATGGGAAGAAATCATGTATTCTCTGGGGAGCAAGGCAGAAAAGACTGGGCTGGGACTATAGCTCAGTGGTAGAATGCATGCCTGGCTAGAATGCATAAGGCCCTGGGTTCAACCCTAAGCACAGAAGGAAAAAGAAAAGAAAAAGAAAAAAGACAAAAAACGTATTAAGAGCAAATGGTGTGTGTGAGTGGGGGGTGCGTATGTATTCATTTCTAACAGACAAAATAAGTAACAAGAGAGAAGAAGACTTAGGTCTAAATCTAGTTATTCTTACAAAAATCTCAGCTATGTTAGCTAGAGAACATAGGACTGGACATAGAAGTTACTCATTCCAACACTCAGGATGCTCGTCTTAAAGTAGGAAAGTAAACGAGGAAAGAATTCCATTATGGGATATAAGAAGTAATGCATTAATATGCCAGAAACAAAGCGGTGACATTCTGAAAGTAGTCTTACCATAAGCTGAATTAAAAAAGAAGAGGAGGAGGAAGGAGAAGGAGAAGAAGTAGTGGTAGTTGTAGCTGTTGACAGAATATTAAGATTCAGAGTCAAGAGACCTTTGGTAATCTATGACATCTCTTGTCTAAAGCCCATGTTAGTGAATGCTTGATATGTCCCTGTAAGTACTAGTGAAAGAATTACAACAACATGCTGATAAATAAAAAACCTCTTACTCTCTGAGAGTACAACTAAATTTTCACAAACTCTGCTAATCGAGCTCACACTCACAATCCTCTTAAGAAAGGGGACAATTATCTGCTGAATACCAAAGGAATGCCAGACTTTCTACTGTCCCCCTCAGCTCAGGGCTGTAGACCTGGCGAGGTCGTAAATCGCATCATCTCTGTGGTGTACTGGTGGCATTTCCTCCTCTGTGAGTGACAACAAGGGTCTAACTATAGACCCTTGAGAGTCTATAGTCTGCAGGCTCCCCAAGATCCCAGTGTTTAGTGAAAAGGGCAAGAGCAGGAGTTCAAGAAAACCATCCAGGACATCAGGGCAATCCAGCAGGAACTGGGTGGATCTCTGACACACAGTTCCTTAGCTTCTAAGAATATGTGTTCACTTTGGATGTGAAAATTGATAGTGAAAATACAAGCTGGAAGATAAAGAGAATGATCTGGATGTAACTTTTGCTCTATTTCTTAAGAGGAGTGTCTATTTGAATCTCATCTATAGGACTGGGGATGTAGCTAGGTGGCAGAATACTTGCCTAGCATACACAAGGTCCTAAATTCAACCTTCAACACTAGAGGGAAAATTCTATTTCTGATATAATTTGGCCAGAACACCAGCCTTTCTTGCCCTTCCCTCTATGAGGTAACAACTGATGTGCCTTTCCCCTACAAGTTAGAGATCCTTGCAAGTAATGTTCAAGAGCAGAGCTCATCAGCTGGCAGTCAAGAAAGGTACGCACCTTTCTGGCAAAAATAACAAGTCACACAGCTGGCAGTGGTGGTGTACGCCTTTAGTCCCAGATTCAGGAGGCAGAGGCAGAGGCAGGTGGATATCTGAGTTCAAGGCCAGCCTAGTCTACAGAGTTCAAGGATAGCCAGGACCAAAACTGACTCTAGAAAATATAAAACCCTAAGATTTTATAATCCACGTGGGTCCAGTGTCCTATGTCTATGTGAGGCAACAGCAAATGGCTCATGGTGTGGCTTTTTGAGAGGGCACAGGAACTAGATCATCTGATAAGTTACTTGACCTTGTGCTCTACTGACACAGAAAATTATCAAAACACAAAAATAAGACATCAACTCTCATTAACTTCAGGTTTTAAGGAAGATGTTTTAAATGACCAGAAAGCAAGGCTCATCCTTCTGGAATAAACCTAGGACTGAAAAGAAGTTCCAAGGGCGCGAATCATTTACTCACTTGTTTGTAAGAAAAGCTCCTTATTTTGGCCCACGGGAGCTTCTCATCACAGGAGCAATTTCCTGACAATCCAAGGCTAAGGAGCTCGTGAGCTCTCCTAGGAGACCAGGTGCTGTCATCTCATGTAAGGACGGGCCACAGCTAAAGAAGCTGTTAGCTTACCTTTAGAAAGTATCTCAGAGAGTTTTAGCCAATATGTAAAATTGGAGATGCTCAGGACCCAATGGGAAGAGATTACTCTTAAAGACCACTCCCTGGAAAGACTCCTAAGGAATGAACCACTCTCTTCTAACTAAAAACAGGTACAGAAGGGGACAAGACTATTTTAAAGCCATTGAAGAGTCCACTATACTATATTCAACTCCAGGCTTGATCCAACTCTGTAACCACATTCTACACTTGAGTATGTGCCTCCCTACCAGGCCACCATTCCTGTCAGAGCTTGCCCCTCCCTCTCAGCATGCCACTCAGCACGTTATCAGTAGGTTACAAGGACAGGAGGGAGAACTGAGGTGGCCTTTATCAATTTATTCATCAGCGACTAGATGGAAATTCTGTACTTTTGATTTCAAGACTCCAAAGGATGCGCACCAAGAGTAGGCGACAAGAACTTCAAAACGATCCCAAGAACTTTATAATTGGTTTTGCCCTAGATGAGGCCATAGCATCTGGCTGGAGCTGAAGAAGAAATCAGAGCAAGACTAGAGCTATTGTACAGTTTAAACATAAGCCCGCCTTTCACAGAAAGGTGTCAGCCATACATTTGAGGGTTAGCTTGAACACTGGGTGTCATTCATGGGAGGTTTAACTAAGGATCGGTTTGCATCAGACCAGCAACTAAATGTAAGTAACAAGTTAAATTTAGTAAGGTTTCTGCCTATCAGCTTTCTTTATACTGAGGGAGGCAGAGGCGTGAAATGTAAATTCAAGGAATTTGACCTAGAAACCTCAGGTCAAGTTATGCACTGCTTTCCAATAGCTTTCTCCCACCCATGCTTCCCTCTCTTAACAGAATCTGGTACATTATAAAACTACACCTGGCCTTTTAGTCTCTAACCTTTTAGATCCCGAATCCCAATAGTCCCAACATAAGGAAACTTTCCTTCAACAGTTGGTCATATAAGAGAATATAAAAATTAAATTCAAGGGAGGTTCCCCTCACCATTCCTTTTCAATAAAAATAAGTCCCGCAGGAGCATTAATTCAAGGCTTTGAGGGTGGTTGGTCAAATATGGAAACAATCTTCCATATTTTTGAAGATGCCTAAGTTTAAGGAGCAGTGAAAATATTCCCTTGAGCTTGGGGATTCCGAGGATCTGGAATTCCGAATCAGATATGTTTCTTACATAAAGACTAAGGAAATTTTATCCTTCTTTCTATTCTTTGTAAAATAGGCCTGCTGAAAGGCCACTAAACAGGAAATTAAAAGAAAACGTCAAACTAATAGTTTCTTCTCTAACACTTTAAAGAACATAATGGGAAGATGAGAACAAAGAATCTAAAACAAAGGAAGATCGGTTCCTGTACATGGAAATGTACAGTATTTAATAACTGCCAATAAGTCTTTAAAAGAAAAAAAAAACTGGGAAGCATGGTCGGGAAAGTGAAGCGTCGTATGCATCGAATTGAGTTGATTTCTAGAAAAACATGAGGTGTCTGAACAACCAGCCAGATTTAAAACTCTGATGCAGAAACTTGTTTAATGGTGGCCGCCTTCTTAAGGGCCTTACCTCTCGCTAGTCTCTAGCTCCCTTCCCAGATCCCACTACAATCGAGCTGGTGAAGAAAACGGCAAAAGACCTCGTCTTGGGCTCAAATATCATCCAGATTGCGCGACACCGACAGCACCACGTCGAACTCCATTTCTGTCCTCTGTAGAATCCAGCCACTATCTATCTTTTCAAGTCTTCCCCCACCTCATCCCCGCTAAGGCTCCACCTCCCCCGACCCTTTCCTTTCAGACGCGACACCCTTCTTCTAGGACTTTCACAGCCACCAGCGGCACCCCCACCCCCACGTTTCCTAATCCACTCCTGACGCCCACCTCTCCTCTGGCTCAGGATCCCCAAATCCCTGCGGTCAGCGGACTGTGCGGCCGGCCCTGGTCCGAGCCATCCTCGTGAAGGTCCCGCCTCACTCACCCTCTGTCACCTCCAGCACCTTAATCTGCTCCTCTGCAGCCGCCCGCACCTCCTGCACGGGGGACAGGATCCCAGTGAGGGTATCCACCAAAGCCTCTTTCAATCCCTGTGCCACTGGACCCGGCAGCCCAGAAGCCGCACCAGCTGCCGCCGCTGCCGCCATCTTTCCTCCCCTCAGCCCGCCAGCCCCGCGGCCGAGACCCGCCACCGAATGACGGCTCCCGCGTACGGCCAATCCGCGAAGCCGCGCCTGCGCATCGATGTACGCGGGAGCGGGAGGGGGGCGGGGATAGATCACAACCTCCGGAGACAGCGCCTTCTGCTGCCGGAACCGAACCGCGCTTTGCCCGCAAGGAACGCTTTGGACCTGTATGCATACAGAATTCCCATAACGGTTTGTATTAGTCCTGAAGTCGCACGCGCTGTTAGAAAACGCGCCTGGAATAAAGGCGTGTAACTTTTATTCCAACTGGGACGCTCAATAGAGCTGACACTGATGGCAAGGGAGCGGGTGAGCTAGCCGTGAGGGTGTGAGCACAGAAAGCCCTGCACCTTGACTGCTGTGGATTGTAGTGGGCACGGAAGAGATGTCCTTCCCCTCCCCCTCACTCCCATCACCCCTCTCTACCTGCATGATTCTAGGCTTAGATTTAAGACATGTTAGGACAGAGGTCGGGCTTTAAGGAAAGGGGTCAGAATAGCATCTTCTTTAAACTAACACCCCTCATCTCAACTAAAAACAACAGGGATTCAATTGGGTCCGTTTAGCTTTAGAGATCCTAAGATGCTGAGGACAGGGAAAAGGAGACATGCAGGAAAACTGAAGTGAAATTGGCGATGGGGAGTGATCACTTTAGAAAAAATCCAGTTTTCTAGCTTTTTAGCTTACATGATCCCAAGATCAAAAAGGGCTGTCCAGGGGAGAATACCTACAGGTGAAGGAGAATTTCTCTAGAATGATTTTTTTAAAAATATTATCCCTATTTGTCATTATTTTGTTTTGAGACAAGGTCACATGTGGCTCTGACTGACCTTAGACTTGCTCTGTAGCTAACACTGGTCTTGATCTCCCTGATCTTGGTCTTCCTGTTTTTATCACCCCCCACTGCTGAGATTACAGGTATATGTGCCACCACACATGGCTCTAGACTGACTCTTTATGTGACTACTAAGAATGACTCCCTCAAATATATAACATTACTTAATTTTAAAGAAGTGTTGGGGGAGGCCCAAGCACCTGCCGTGGGTGCCATGATGGATGAATGTGTGATGGAGAGATGAGAAAGATGGAGAGTGTGGTGGGGATGGAGAAAACCAAGAAAACCTTTCTCTGAGGAGAAAGGTGGAACTGGAGACTTGAAGGTGGTGAGGAATAGGGGGATATGAGGAGACCATCCTGAGGTCCTGGCCCCGGCTACCCGCAAGGGGCATGTCTGGGTTCCTGGTCCTGGTGCAGCTGTGGTCTGTGTCAATGTCTGTGGCCTGAATTAACATCAAAGGCAAAGCAGATGTCAGTGGTCTGGGCTGCCACCAGAGACCATGTGGATATCTGAGGAGGGTACTGCCAGGGGGAAGGGAGACATGCTAATCTGAATGGCTGTACTGACACTTGATGCCATGGGGACATCTGGACCCATGCTGCTGCTGGGGTCCACATGTCTGGGTCTGAGGTCCTATGGCAGCCAGGTCTATGTTGATATCCCAGGCCTGTGTTACCACCAAAGGCCATGCAGATGTCTCCAGTCTGGCCTGCTGCCTGAGGCACTGTGCTGAGCCAACTCTGACCCTTGTCTGGGCAGCATAGTAAAGCTGACCCTGATGGCAAGGGGTAAGCTAGCCGCGAGGGTGTGAGCACAGAAGGCCCTGCACTGTGTCTGCTGTGGATTGTAGTGGGCACGGAAGCGATGCCCTTCCCTCACCCCCTCCCCTCTCTACCTGCTGCAGGTGGGAGAGCTGGCCCTGCTCCTCACCAGCTGTAGCACTTAGGAGAGTGAGCCCTGCATTTTGCGTGGGCAGCACAGTAGAGCTGGTGCTGATGGCGAAGGCACAGGTGAGTCTTCCTTGAGGACATGAGAGGAGAGTTGAGCCTACCTCTTGTTGGCCGTGGCTTTGTGGGAGCTACCTGAGGCAGTGCTGGAGAGCTTACCCTGATGGTGGTGCAGGGACAGGAGAGCTGGCAGGCTGAACAACTCAGCTACTTCCCAGGCCCAGATCCAGGGCTTTGAGTTGGCCTACCCTAACATCTACCCCATTTATGATCGCTGGAGCATGTGACAGGGCCAGTCCTACAGATCCAAAGCTCCAGGATCTCCATGACACAGTGCAACAATGGGATATCTGAGAGGAGTCCCAGTGAGGATCCAGTAGTCAGAGTGTAGCAGAAGCCAGAGGCCCAGAAACAGACCAATGACTCACTGCAGTGGACATTGGCAAGTAAAGATGTATGGACAAAAGGGTGTACTGTGTGACATACTGTGACACACTACAGCTTCCACAACTAGATGTTTGGATTTTCTTGTTTTTCTGTTTTATTCAATTTTATTTGGGGGGGGGGTTTGCAAGGATGGAGGGAAGATATGAAGGGGTGGGGAGAAGAGTAGGATTGGGGTGCATGATTTGAAATTCACAAAGAAATCAATACTTTTTTTTTTAAAAGAATGTGTCTTGTGTGTGTGTGTGTGCACGCATGTGTGCATGTGCTGTGCACTTGTGCATGGGCATATGCCTTGGGATACCTGTAGAGGTCAGAGGACAACTTAGTGTGGAGTTTATCTTTAGCCCCCTTTATGTAAGAGTGAACTCAGGCTGTCAGGTGTGGCAAGTACTTTACCACCCCCTGAGCCATCCAGTTAGCCCAGCATTCTTCCCACCACCACCCCTCAGGGAAAGCATGACTGGAGGGCTAAGAGAGTAAGAGTACCTTAATATGGCTAACAAAGGTAGTCACAGGAAATGGCCACAACATAGACTGGACCCGACAGAGCAAGTGGAGGCTAGAGCATGGGATTAAAATGCAAGCCACACATGGTGGCAGAAGGGATGGAGTGGCTTATGCTCTTGGAACTCAGAGGAGGTATTTCTTGGTAAGCTGCTAAGATTTAGTGCCTCAGATGAGAATGCTTTCTAGGAACACTTCTCTTATTCACAAGTGGTGAAGGAAACTAGCAATTCCAAAAACAGCCCGAGACTGGTTCCTAAACTGATAACGATTCTTTGAAAATAACATTCTTGAGGAGTGCTCTAAACCCATCTGTCACCTCCCGTGTCAAAGAGGGCCAAGGCGGCCGGCCTGCCTGTGTTACCACGGTGCTTTCAGAGGAAAAGGGAGTGCCTCTTGATTCTGCAGCTTCATAGTGGAGAACAGTAAGGCTTATTTCCTGTCTTACGGTGGCCAGGAGAAACTGGCCTCCATTAGAATAGCTGTCCTTTTAGGTAAGTTCACTTTTGCCCCCAAAGAAAATGTGTTTCTCAAATGCTGTGACCCTTTAATAGTTACCTTGTGGTGATCCCCAGCTATATTTTTGTTGCTTCTTCATAACTGTAATTTCACTACTGTTATGAATTATAATGTAAATATCTGATATGCAGGATATCTAATATGTGACACTTGTGAAAGGGTTATTCAACTCCCAAGGGGGTCTCGGCCCACAGATTGAGAACCATTGGTTTAGAGGATGGTGCATTTTCAAACTGCAGTGGACAGAGGACTCAAGAGCCCCCCACCCCCAAACTGGAAGCCTTGATTTCTGGTGAGGGAAACTGTCATAGTTAGCTTCAACTATTAACTTGACACAAACTAGAATTACCTGTGAAGAAAGAACCTCCACTGAAGAATTAACTACATCAGATTGACCTGTAGCCAAGTTTGGGAACCATGTCTTAGGTGCTAATTGACATAGTGGGAGCCAGCCCACTGTAGTTAGTACCATCCCCAGGCAGGTGGGCCTAGGCTATGTAAGACCAAAGGGAGCAATCCAGTAAGTTGCTCTCCTAAGTGGCTTCAAGCCTCTTCCTAGCGTCCTGCCTTGGCTTCCCTTTATAACTATGACCTGTAATAGGAAATAAAACCCCTTTCCTCCCCACATTGCTTTTGTTCATGTTATCTGCAGCTGAAATAAAGTAGGACAGAAACTGTCCAAGACGTACAAGGTGGGATCTCTCCTACCCACAAACCAGAAGTAAAAAGACTCCTGCTTAGCATTTGGTCAGGCGGGGTTTGCTTCCGAGTTAGGCAAATGACCACAAGCTATCTATCATTGCATACCAAGCATTGAGATAGATGAGACACAGAAACCAAGCAGAGTGGGCTAGAAAACCCGAGGACAATACAGGAGATAACTTTATTGAAACGCAAATGGCAGCGAACAGATGAATTTTGCTGGATAGAGACATGCCTGGTAGACAGAGGACCCAGGGAAGGGTAGCCTCTGTGGCGATGGAGGAAGGCCATTTCGGCTGGCCAAGGCATGGATTTAATTTTCAACCAATTCTTTTTTTTTTTCATTTAAAAAGAATTACTGAGGGGACAGCCCAGCTCTCTTCATGATTGTTACCGCAACTATATACAACAATTTGCTTTCCGGATTCAGTTCTGCCTTTTCTACATCAGGTATAAAAGGGGACAGATTGGAATAGGCAAGGGTCAAATGAGAAGAAAATAAGACAAACACGCAGACACACACATATCCTGGTTTGGGATTTTCTACCCAGTAAGTTTGAAAAAGTGAACATTCTTGCCCATCCTCCACCTGAGGAATGCCATGCATTTGAGAAACAGACTCTTACATGAGCAGTGCTGTGTAAAACAGGATAGGGAGGGGGAGGAAAGGAAGCCAGCAGGGCCTGGAACTCGCTATAAATTTGTTTTGTTAAAAGCAATAAACTGAACATTAGGAAGTGGGGGGATGGGGTGCAGCAGAGCATTATCAGAAACTGGCTGCTGGTGGGAATTTGCTCCTTTTATCTTCCTTCTTAGAGAAATGCCAGGGAAGCAGGATGATGCTACAGGAGCTGGGATGCAGGGAAGCAGGATGATGCCACAGGAGCTGGGATGCAGGGAAGCAGGATGATGCCACAGGAGCTGGGATGCAGGGAAGCAGGATGATGCCACAGGAGCTGGGATGCAGGGAAGCAGGATGATGCCACAGAAGCTGGGATGCAGGGACAAAGGATGATGCTATAGGAGCTGGCTGGATGGTAAGGAGGGTGATTTTAGTATAAATGTTTTACTTTTGCTTTCCTTGGACTTTAGTCCTTCCTTCCAGTGCATAGTCCCTGAGCTCAGGAGACCCAGTACTAGTGATTTTTCATACTCTACACAAAAGTGCTTTTATAGAAGGGAAACCAACAAATTTGAAACAAAACCGCCTCTAAAAGTCTCAGCTCTTCCATGGCCATAGCAGCTAATTTATGAGTTTGGAAATCTATGAAGCTCTTTTTGAAAAAAGAAAAAAAAATTAAAGAGAGGATTTTATTTTGTTCTGTTTTCGGAGTACTATATTTAGGTCCTGGTGTGGGAAAATGTAAGGTTGAACTTAAGGATGTAGAAACATTATTTTCACTGTGTAGAACTCTCTCCTGTGGGCAGAGTAGAGACATGGCCTTTCTGGCATAACTGGAGCCCCATGGCTGTCCGTTGCCCTGGAGAAGGAGGGTCTGGTTAGGCTCTCTGGCTAGGCCCTCAAACTCATCAGTACTCTTAACCACTTAAAGGAGGGAGAGGGTTGTTGTCAGGAGAATAGTTTATCATAGAAATGCAACTTAGATTTTATTTTACTTTTCTTACATTATTATCAGAAAAAGAATACTTCAGAACAGCAATTCGGAGGAGACTCTAACACAATTCTTCCATTGAAGCCCCATAGTTTGCCAGGTAGACATTTCAGAGGCAGGAAGCTTCCTACTAGAAGCTGCAGTCAGATAGGAAAGATGCAGAGATTCCCTGACTTCCACCCCAAAGCACATGTTTTCACTGTTAAATCCCAGAAACCTAAGTATGAGAAAAGTGACTTTGAAAATGTCAACATTGGAATTAGACCGGAGATGCTTCTTATTTGGGGTCTTCAAACATCAAACATTTTGGAACTCTCACGCACTGGATTCACTAGAGAAACTGTTAATAGCATTGCTGGGCACCGCCACAAAGATTTGACTTGGTAAATCTGGGTTAGAGCCTGGGAATTTTATTCCTAACACATCCTTACAAGCTGCCGTTGTTCATCTGAAAACATCCTTCTAGTGCCACTGCTGTATGGAACGAAAGGTTGAACCAAGAACCAGGGATTCCCTTTTCAGGATCACATATCAGAGAATGTTCCCTGTGACATAATTGTTAAGGAAAATGGCCACAACATCAAACCAGAATGAACTAATACAAATAGGTGAACTTTTTAACTGTCGTTTTCTCCCTGCGGTTTCCAAAGTTCAGCTGCTCCCTTGCCTTCAAGACTCTGCTGCTTTCCAGTTTACTCTATCTTCCCTGCAACAGCACATGCTTCCAGGGCTAGAGTGTGTACCAGTGTATCCTGGGCAGTGGGGAGAGCCAAGCTGGTGGCCCTGTTATCCCTGAGCAGGTTGAGGATTGATAAGGCTGATTCAGTGAAGAAGAACAGTGTCTTCGGGCTTTGGCCATTTGGAACACATTTTTGGGCCTCCTTGTTGGGAACTCTCATGGATAGTTCTTATTACAGAGTGATGCAGACTGAAGTCCCAATTACTTGAGAGGCATGTGTGTGTGTATGTGCTGGATCATCAGATTCAAGACTTGCCTGGAATATTTAGCGAATGTAGAGCCATTATGGAGAACTTAGTGAAACTCTGTCTTTAAAGCCAAAGTGAAGGCTAGCGATAGAACTCAGTGATGGGGTACTTGCTTAGTATATGAGAAACCCTGGATTCAATACCCAAAAGTAGAAGGAAAAAAAAGGGGGTACCAACACCTGCTGGTACATTCATCTTATCCACCTCTATTAGCCAGCCTGCTGTTACAGCCATTTCACTTCTTACCACAGGGGTTGTTGGCTCATGAAGTCAGTTTACCAGCTTCAATTTAGCTAATGCACAGGACTATGGGAAGAAAGGATACAGAATGATAAGGAGCTTTAATTACCCATCTGAGTCACTTCAACCCTGGATTAGATCTGTGATCAACACAACTTCCTCTCCCAAACCTCTTTGCCATAAAAAGATCATTAATATCATTTGGATCACCTGATCAGGCATGTGTTCTCCGTGCACATGCTGGCTGCTGGGAATGGGTTCCATCTGGGGTGATGGGAGGTGGTGTGAGAACCTACTACTTTTCTGGAATAGGACCGGAAACAGAGTTCATCATCAGAGTCCTGGAAGAGTGTGGCACTTCTCTGAATAGCGTGACTTATCTTTGAGAGCCATCAGGAACGAGATGGGTACATGAAGTCCATATAGACTCTTGTAAACTAGAAAAGCCACACAGCACAAAATGAAACGGGAAGGAAAAAATCATTATTTTGTCTTCTGTCCATTAGTATGGACAGATTAGAAGGTTGGTAATTCAAGACCCAAATGTTTACCAACCTAGAAAGGTTTTCTTGTGGGCTCTCAACTTGGTCTGTTACCCCATTCTCCTTTCTTGCCAGCCTCTACCTTCCAAATGATTAGACTACATGAAAGACACTGGAATAAGGATTTACAGAGACAGAAATAAGCACCAACGAGTTACCAGAAAGCAGGTATCAAAAATAATAATGTTCCACAAAGCCCCAGAAGATAACAACAAACTGCTCCTGTGTTCGAGAGAGAAGGACAGAGACAGAAAGATGCACAGACATCAGGTCCCATAGCAGCCTCCAATACCTAGTATTTTATTTTAGTGCTTAGGCAGGGACTGAGAAACAAACACATTGAACACAACTTATTGGTCTTCATCCCCAAGTGCAAGGGGCTCTGGTGAGCCTCTCCTGGAGCTGAGGCCTTCCAAAGGTTGATGTTCTTCACCAGCCAACTTTGGTAAGGGATGGAATCAGGAGTTGGAAAGAAAGGGAATAGCAAAAGTTGAATTAGATAGGTTGGATTCTTCTGAAGGTGCCTGGAGATTGAGAATTTGGCGGTGGGACCCAGTTTTTCCTTTCTGAGGAGTCCTAGAAGTCTCAACCAAGAAGCATGTAGGTTGGGAGGAATGCTGCGGATTTGCTCTTTGCCATGAATTCTTAGGCAGTGAGGGGGAGCTCAGGCTTTTTGCTTCTTAGAAGTCTGGATGAGCATCCCGAGGGGTTATAGCACCAGGAGGAGGCTCAACCCTCTGCAGTTGCCAGAGAACCATGATCCCTTTTTTGAGATGGTTGATCCTGCTGTGAGGGGCCCAGATGTGCAACTGTAAACAGGGTCCCAGGCTCCAGAAGGAAAGTGGAGGCGTCAAGAGCACTTCACTAGATGGGAACACTTCCTGGAGGACAGCTATTTGAGGCCTGAACTAAATGCAGCAGTCAACTGAGAGAAGAGGGTGGTGGATCCCAGGAATAGAAATGAAGTTATAGTATGAGAGGCCTCCAGAATCAACTTGCTGCAGACCCAAATAAAATTCTCGATGGTATCCATGGTTACCACAGAGACAATCCCTCTGTAGTCTGAGGCAGTTGGAATGGAAGAAGGCATTTCCTACTTTCCTTCTTCTTAAGTAGCCAGTAACATCGTGTGAGAAGGCACTGGCTGGGCAGCACCAGAAAAGAGAGAGAAAGGCTCAAGCATTATGATGTTAGTGAAAGTCTGAGCCTTGCCATGGTACTGGAGCTTTGGATAGGGTTCAGAAGAGACCTATGTCCAAAGTAGGCCTATCCAGTCTTCCCTTCTTTCTAAGTTGGAACACCCAGCTCTTGGGGCCTTCTCATTCTGCACAGCAGAGACCTTAAGGCAGTGATTTCAGCACCATCCTTGGACAGCCAGCCTCTTCTTCCTACCACAGAATTGCATATTTTGCAGCTGAGTTGGGGATCTTCACAGCTCATGGAATTAGCAGCAGTAGCAATAATAGTCTCCAGAATAGAGGACCCTGTCATCCCTGGGCCTACCAGGTGAATATAGAAGCTTTTGCTGGGGGTGGAAGGGCACAAGAGGGACAAGCTAGACCTCCTTGAGAATCTAAATGAAAAGAGACTGTTAAGAGTCAGATGTATGTAACTCCTTGGTTGGGTGGAACAATGGCCCAGGTTAGTTTGCCTACAGAATCTTGGTATAGATTCTGGTACCTATACCAGAAGTCTGAAGAGCATACTCCTAGGTCCAGGCTTACTGTATGTATCTCTGAACTGCAGTGCTGACACATTAGCCCATGAGGCATTTCAACCTGGAATCTGGTTCCACCGGTTTCCAGAAGTGACAGAAGTAGTTTTCCCACTCAAGACAAGCAAGACTCCATAGTTCTTCAGGCTTCATTTAAACTGATCCCCAATCTTCTGCCCATAACATACTGGAGATCTAATCAAAGGCTTCTTTTAATTGACTCCTTGGGCTTCACCTGCATTTCTCAGATGATTTTCAAGGTCCAGATAATAAGGGGGTGGTTATTTAAAGGAGATTAATATTGCCTCCTAGACCTTGAATTTAAGGACCAAGTCTTGTCTTTTTTTTTTTTTTTTAAAGAAAAAAAAAACCATAGTGACTGGTACTCGGTTGAATACTAAGTACTTGTCAAATGAAGGAGTGTGGGTTAGGAAGAGGGTGACTTCTGCAAGATGTAGATCTCTTTGGAAGGCAAATATTGGCCACCAAGTCAAACTCCTCGAGCCTTTTTTATTCTGATCTGAAGCAGCTCACATGGCTGCTCCATCTCTTATATGTGACTGTTCACCTGTCAAAAACAAATAATAAGGGCTAGCTAGGGAATCTTGATTCAGTCAGGCAAAGTGGCTACCATCCAAATAGTGCAGTGAGGGCCCTAACAGGCATAAGACAGGCGTGTGTTTCCAGTATTTTGGTTTTCCTCCCAGTCCACGATGAAGCTCCGGGTAGGTCTGTCATGCCGGAGGACGGCAGTCGAGCTTCCAGGTAGAACATGTGCTTTCTCAAAAGAAATGAAAGAGACTGAGTTCTTTTTCTCTTACTATTATGAGCCAATGTTTCTTGTCCCATATAAGCCCCAAGGATGCCAGAGACAGTGGCATGGCAGGTGTCTTAACTTGTACCAATAGTATGGAATTAAATTCTCCAAAAAAAACCCACTTAGAAAGCAAAACTATCCCCTGGAAGGAAACCCAAGTATCTCATTGACGTGAGGAAACTGGAGAGAGGGGGCAAATAAATAGGTAAATGGAAGAAAAAAAATAGAAATAAAATTTAAAAATTAAAAATTAAAAATAGGGTTTATTGACTTTCATGCATGTTCAATTAGAGGGCAGAAAGACAGCTCGTGGTCTTTCTCCGAAGGCTGTGATGTTACTCTTGTGGTTTGGTGACATTTTAGATTGGCAGCCATCTTGCAATGTCCCCTATTGTCATTGTCATCCAGAAGGCAAGATCTGGCAGCTCTTTCCGTCTTGGCAACTGGGTCCCCTCCTTCCAGCTTCATCTTTTCCATTGCCGTTTTACCTTCTACAGGTTGATTTACACATATATTTTTTGTTTTGTTTTGTTTTTTGTTAAACCACATGCTTCTTTTTTTCTGGGCTCTGGCCAGATCTCTGGGGGAAGGTTGTTGGCAGTGTTGATAGAATTGGGAAGGTTTTGCAAGAAAGTCTGTAGAGCTTCCTCCCTTAGATTTCCCCACGTGTGACTGTCTCAGAGGTGTTCACGAGAACCAGCCTGGAACTGATGTAGTTGGTTTTTTTGTTTGTTTATGTCTTCCGAATCCCTCCCCAGAAAGCCCAGGAGTTTGTAGGTGAAACAAAACTTGAAGAAAAGACACAGAATCGTCTTTTCTCCTAAGTCATAAGAGGAGGCCAGCAACTGTATTTAAGGGGTACGAGTTCCCAAACTCCACCCCTCCAATTCCTACTAGGAAGTTCTCAAAGGTTCAGCACCGAGAACCTGTCCCTCCTCCTGCCCTCTTCTTCTCTCCTGTTCTCTTGGCGAGGCTACTGAGCCAGAGCTATGAAAGAAGAGGGCAGAGGAGAGCTAGTGACGCTGAAGCCAGCCTTCTGCCATCCAGGGTGACAGTGACTGCTGGGCCCTCAGAGTGTCGCCTGGAGGTTGGGGTCCAGGATAGTCTCTCGATCTGGTGACTCAATGTAGTTGGCAGCTTCTTGAAGTTTCAGCAGCATGGCCATCTAAAAAGAGGCAGACATGGGTGAATGCAAGAGGGGGATGCTGAGTTCTATCTACAGGGAAATCCAACCCAACCCAGTCAGCCACACCCTACAAGCCTGTATCATGGGTCTGATCCTTGGTGTGTTTAAGAACATGGAGTTTAGAGATGGTTTACAAAAAAGTGACAACTGCTTCAATCCTGACTGTAACCCATGCACATGAACCATCACCTGGGACACCTTTGCTACATGAGCTGGCATGGGTGCAGAGGATACCAAAGAACAATACTTCCCATGTTTCAAGATGCACTGTAGGGCATGACAGAGGCCCAGAAGTACCAGCTTATACAGGGAGTAATAAGAGAAGTGTTATAATTGGCCCTGGACTCTTGGAATTCCCTTGCAGTAGATTATACCCCAACAGCTAGGCTCTGTGCTATCCCCAGACACTGTGTCAAGTCTACCACCTCAGCATACTCTTCCACTCCTCCATTTTATAGTTCAGGCTTCAGCTAAGTGAGCCTGGTTGGTGTGCTACTCACGCAGCTGCCAGCCTCTTCTATCTATGCTATTAATCAGTCTTCCAATTAAAAAGTGTCTTGACATAGAGAACAGCCGTTTTCAACAAAGTCAAAATTTAAGTAAAAATATATTATGACTCAATTGGAATCACTCCCTACTGGGAAGGTGCAATGGCAAGATCATTTGATTTTTGTGTGTTAAGTTTCATTGCATTCTGCTAACTTACCCTCTAACATGGTTCTTAGTAACGAATATCCCCACAGCGGAGTATGAAAATCTACGCTTCAGACACTGTGCCTATTACCAACGTAACAGAGTAGCTCCTTGACTTGCAATTCCTCACTGTTAGACAGGTTGAGGATCTTATGTCCTTATGTCATTTCCTCTAGTCAAATGCCTCTTGAATTTTTCACTCGATCTTTGGTTTATAAGCTTATTTTTTTATGTAATTTATTTTTATTTATTTCTTTTTTATTGCTCTCTCTCTCTCTCTCTCTCTCTCTCTCTCTCTCTCTCTCTCTCTCCCTCCCTCCCTCCCTCCCTCTCTCCCTCCCTCCCTCCCTCTCTCTCCGTGTGTGTGTGTGTGTGTGTGTGTGTGTGTGTGTGTGTGAGATGCAGGTGAACGCAGGTGCACACGTGCAATGGCATTCATGTGGAGTTCAGTGGACAACTTTTGGGAGTCAGTTCTCTCCTGAAACTGGTTGTCAGCTTTGTGTAACAAATTCTTTTTACCTGTTGAGCTATTTTGCCAGCCCTGAGAGTGTCTTTTAACTTTATATATTGAAGATACTAATTGTTTTGGTTAGACCCATTGGAAGTATCTCCCCCTAGCTTACTTTTTACAGAATCCATGCAGCTGATGAAGTCTCAGAAGAGTATCAGAGGGGGCAGAAGGTAAAGTGCTAACAGCCCTTACTGTGCTATTTCCTTGGTTTATGACAGTCTCTACATTTTAAATTTTTATTATTTTTAATTGTTTGTGTCTGTGTGTAGGTATGTCCACATGAGCACAGAGCCCACATAGGAACTGTGTCAGATCCCCTCAGAGCTGGAGTCCTAAGCTTAGATGGGTGCTGAAAACCAAATGTGGGTTCTCTGGAAGAACAGCAAATGCTCGTAAGAGCTGGGCCACCTCTCCATCCCTTCTTTGGTCTATTTTCTTACATAGACTGCCCAAAACTTGGGTCTTAGCTAGAATACATTTTCCCGAATATATCATTTAGTTTCAGCAAGGATGCAGGCATGAGATCAACCCAAGAGTCCTGATGCTCAGAGTTCCTCGCTGGCCTCATTCTGGTCCTGGCTTTGCTAAAACCTTTCAATGCTCAAGCCCCATCAACACATACGTGAAGAGTATATGAACTCAGTTCTGTAATACTCTGTGACTTTTTTTTTAAGATGACTTTTACTCACCAGGGGGTCTGAATCGAGGGAGTTTGGGGTGCTGTCTTTGACTGTCCTATCCTCTGGAGGTGAGGCAATGCTGTGAGGGCCCACAGAAGGTGGGGGCAGGTGGTATAGCTTTGACTGGTCTTGTTGGGCCGATGGCCAGGGAAGTGTGTCCCGAACCCATTCCACCGGATCTTCCCAAGCAGCTTTCTGTCCATGAACCTGGAGAGGAAAAATGTGAACAACGAGAGGGGCAACAGAAGGAAGTTTACTTATGTTGTCTTGCCTGTGCTTCATAAAAAATATAGTCCCTGTAAATGCATCCTTCCTTAAACAGAAAGGCTTGAGGTTTTCATCTATGTAGTTAAACTTGCCATGAAAGAAAATAAGTTGGCATAAACTGCCAGAAAAATTAAGAATAATTTCTCATATTGTCTTAAAAGTTTGTTTAGAGGTAGGGTCTCACTATATAGCTTTTCTTAGTCTGGAACTCATTATGTAGACTAGGCTGGCCTTGAACTCACAGAGCTCAACTGTCTCTGCCTCCCAACTGCAAGTGCTGGGATTAAAGGCATGTGCCACCACAGGTCTAGATAATTTCTTTTAAAAACAGTACCACTATGTGGTCCTGGGTGTCGTGGTGCTTGCTATGTAATGTAGTCCAGGCTGGCCTCAAACTCATAGCTTCTGGAGATTACAGTCATATGCCACATACCTAATTAAACCTTAAAAATTGTTAATTTTGTTCACTAGATAAGCCTCAAATCTGTGACACTCATGCCTTGTCTACTTATCCAAATGCCAGAATTAAAGACATGTGACACACCATGGCCTAGATTAACTAACTATTTATTTATTTATTTATTTATTTATTTATTTATGAGCTGGTAATTAAGACTATGGACTTAAGTCTAGTAGACAAGTGATCTACCACTGCGCTGTATCTTGAGTCTTATATTTATTTATTTTACTTAAAAATAAAAATTGCATTAAAGACAGGTGATTCAAAAGGATAGGTAGGATACAGGCAAAGGAAACATGAATCATGAGAGAAGGTATAAAGCTATTCTTTTTTCTGTTTCAACTCTGCCATAGCTGCTGCTGGTGATGATTTTTGTCCATGTGGTGGATAAATGAATACAAACGTAATCCATGGTAAAAGTGGAAAGCCCTAGGTGACGCTGCATGGCTTCAGCAAAGCCACTCTAACTGTACAGATGTGCACTGAGATGTGCAGACTTTGAGACTGGGTAAGCGTTTAACAAGCGTTTAAGTGGTTCCTTAATCTAGCTATGTGATGTTTTATTTGTGAGTCTCTGGAAAAAAAGCAATGAAAATAAAATAGAATCGTATACATTTATAAAGCCCAGCATATTTAAAACATGTATCAGTTGTGGAATGGTCAAATCAGTCTAATGATCTTCTACTTTGTGGGGAGAACACTTTATATTTTCTTTTAAAGTATACATATGGTAATTGACCTTAGTTGCCAAGTCAGATAGTACATCTCTTGAACTTATTCCCTCTGTCTGGATGAAATACTGTATCCTTTGGCTGACATTGACTCCACCCATCTCTCTAGCCCTGCCAACTACCTACTCTTCTCTGCTACTATGTCTTTGGCTTTGGTAAGCTCCACATGTGAGTGAGAACATGCATTAGTATTACTTTTTTATCCCTGGTTTATTTCACTTAACATAATGTTCTATAGGTTCACCTGACTAATAGGTCATCCATTCCAATTGACCCTTATCCATGTTCACATTGCATTGTATGTATATGCATACATCTTCATTGTTCATTGACCCATGATAGATGCCTATGTTACACTAAAATTAGGTACAAATTTTATGACCCTGTAATTATACTTTCCAGAGAGTAATTCTTCAATTTTAGTCATATAATATCTTTTAATATTTAATTTTTTGGGGGGTATATTTCAAGACAGGGTTTCTCTGTGCACTAGAGTCCTGGCTGTCCTGAACTCACTCTGTAGACCAGGCTGGTCTCGAACTCACAGAGCTCCACTTGCCTGTGCCTCCTAAGTGCTGAGATTAAAAGTGTGTACTACCGCTGCCTGCCTAGATACTATCCTTTAAATTGGAAATCTATTCATTATATTATAAAATTTTCTTAATAATACCACAAATTTATAAATAAAACAATGGCTTATGGTATTTGCCAGAAAACACCTTTAGAAATTCAATATATCATCATAAAAATCTATCTCAATAAAATTACTTTTATGAGTGAAACATCACTGAGAACTCCAAGTCATTGAGTCACAGGATGCTTGTGCTAGAATGGGTGTCAGTGATCATTATGAGCTAATTACAGGTGGTCAAACTTACCTAACTTCACAACAGGCTCTAAATAGCTATTTTTCAAGAGAAGACATGCAAAGACCCAGAAGGTCATGTCAATATCCTCAGGATCACTAATCACTAGGGTAATGCTAATCAAAACCAAAGTTAGTTAAGAGCTCACCCCACTAAGAATGGTGATTCTGCAAAAGACTACAGACCACAAATGTAGGGGAAATAGAAGCCTTGTACACTACTGGTGGGAATGTAAATTAATATCTCCATGATGGAAAACAGTATGATGACCCCTCGAAAAAATTAAAATAGAACTACTATATGATCTAGTAATCTTCCTGCAAATATATATTCAGAAGAAAGGAGGCTGGTACACTGAAGAGATGTACATCTTCACTCCCATGTTGACATAGCTAAGTGATGGAAATTACCCAAGTGTCAATCAACCAATGAATAGGATAAAGAAAATCTGTCTACATCCATAGTGGAATATGGTTCAGTCATATATGAACTGAAACCTTGTCATTTGCAACAGGCATGGTTGCAAGTATGGAAATAAGCTGCACAGAGAAAGATAAGCATAATAGGACCCCAGTCCTATGTGGTATGTAAAAATTGATCTTATAGATACTTAACAATGGTGGTTATCAGAGGCTGGGGAGCCCAGGAAGGGAAAGTTGGGGAAGGCTGATCAGTGGGCAACGAGACCTAGTTACAGAGCAATCAGAGGCCTGAGTAGAGTCAGAAGGTGAGACTCACCTTGATTCCATCCTTGGCTCCTTCCTGGAGATAGGGAATGATGGAATTGTTCCATAGGTCAATGAACCAGGTCCGGAAGTCCTCAATGCCAATGGGACAGGACAGAAAGAAGCAAGGGCCTAGAGAAAACGATGCAGCTGTGGAGAAGCCTGAGAACCTTGACCTGCCTTGCTTCTTTTCCTCCTTACCACAAGACACAAAGGTGTGGCATCCAGAGCATCAGAGGAAATTTGAAGTCATTCAAGAGCAGTGGGGCCGATGTCTGGCAGACCAATGATATTTACAAGGAGGAAGAGTCTCAATTCCCTCCAGGATGCCTTCTCTCCCTTTTGCCATTAACCATGAAGAGAAGTCGGGGGTGCAGGTGGGGTGGGGTGGTAGCAGCTTTACATTTTAACCTTGGGCCTTGCACATGTAAGTACATGCTCTACCACTGAGCTGTGCTCAAGGCATGTTTATTTTGTTTAATTAACCTATTTTTAAGATTAGGGGAGGTTTCGAATATGCTGCTTAGGCTGGCCTTGAACTTGTAGTGGGTCCAAGCAATTCTGTCTCAGCCTACTCAATAACTAGAATCACAGGTGCACACCACACAACCTGGCTTTCTGATGTCTGAAGGGTTTTATCCAATCCATAGAGTTGTGTTGGGAGGGCTTGTTAAATACTCAAGTGGGTCGACTCCAGTAAGCAAAGAACACACTTCCCTCCAAGGGGTAAGATACAAGAAGGGAAACTACTCCCCCGTCTCGCCCGGCCGCGCCCCCCCCCCCCCGCTGGGGAAGCTGGACCCAGTACCAATGAGGAAGTCCGAGGTGCTGTGCTTCTCAAGGAAGGTGTGGAGGTGATACCACAGCTTGGGCACCCAGTCTAGCACCCGGAGCAGCTCTTCCTTGTTAGCATTGACGTCACTGTCTGACTCTACCAACTTCCTCCGAAGGTAACGGACCAGAAAGCCATTGGCTGGCTCCACATTGTTCGAGAAGGTCAGCATCCTGCCACCAGGGATAGGAAGAACAGGGTCAGGTGTCAGTGGGGACACTGCCAGGATCCATCCTCTGAGAGTCTGGCCATCTTCTTGACTGTCTCCTACTAACGCCCCCTTAACTTATTCTCAAGCGACAAAAGTCGCTTGAGATGGCAGTTAGGTAGCAGCTCTGGGCAGGCAGGGCTGATTTTCAACTCTGTCATCCTCAAATAACTACCTGGCTTCACAGAGTGACCAAGAGGAAAGTCCTCAGTACAGCAGCCAGCCAGTCTTTTGTTCCTTTCCTTCCCTTAAAATCCTCCTCTTCCACACTGACATACAAGACCATCTACCTCCTGATGTTCTACAGCCTGAAAGGGTCTGCCCAGTCTCTCTTGCTACTTACGGCTCCTCTGGTCACAAGTTCAGGATTTACTTATTATTTACAGACTCTTGAGGAAGGCCAGAAGGTTCATGCACGGACATAGTTCTTACCTGAAGCTCAAGTGTAAGCCATGGTTGGGTGTCATTTTTACAGGCTGGTTGGTGGTACCTATAATATAAGGACTGTGGGGAAAAAGAGAGGATTCACTTAGATCCGCCTTAATGATTGCTGTCTGCCATGTGCACACAATGGGCAACTCATAGGCTGCATTCTCCTCCCTTGTCCCGTGGGGCTACGTGGTCCTCCCAATCTTACCATTTGTGGTACTTGCAGGTGAGGGCCCCATTGACCAGCTCACTGATGGAGCCTGCTTCACTCAGATCATCCAGGAGGATCACCAAGGGCACATCCCCTATTCCTGTTTCCCGGTCTATCTGGTTGGCTAGGTTGGAGAGGTACAGTTGCAGATCCTGGAACAAATGAAGACAGTAGGTAAGCACTCAGGAATCAGCACTTGAAGAGCCTTAGCAAGATTTTTGGAGAAGATTTGTTAGTTCCATATTTCCCTGGGGCCCTTGGTCCCTGTCCCTGTTGGATATACAGAGCTCTCTCGCTCTCTCTCTCTCTCGCTCTCTCTCTCTATCTCTCTCTCTCTCTCTCCCCCTCCCCCCATCTACCTCTATCTATCTATCTATCTATCTATCTATCTATCTATCTATCCATCTACCTGCCTATCTATCTATCCATCCATCTATCTATCTATCTATCCATCTATCTATCTACTGAAGTGCTAGGGATTGAACCTAGGGCCTTGCACATGCTAGGCAGGCACTCTACCACTAAGCTAAAAAACAAACCCTTTGAGAAGCAATCCTAAATCCCCACAGAGTATGGATTATCTATTCTGAAATGGCTTTTCATGGAGTTGATGCCACAAACTTCTCAGCTTTGAAGAGTCAAGGCTTGTACCATTCCAGTTTTAGGGTACACTCAAGGTCCATCTCTGGGAGAGATGACATGTAATATTTAATTCTGAACACCTCCTCCCATAGCCCATGGTCTGATGGGAATACTGAAAAGCAAGGTGCTGGGAAGAAGATAAAACTTAATGGCTATGATTGACAACACTGGCAGAATGCAGAGGAGAAGAGGCTATAGTTCACTGTTGATTATCTAAAGGAACTGAGGTAGCGGTGAGAGAAACTACTAAGGAGAAAGGTATGGGAAAAGAAGCTAAGAGCAAGCTGGGGATGGTGGCATGGCCTAAAACCCTAGTTTCTTGGGAGACTGAGGCAGGAGGATTGCAAGTTCAGGCAACCTGGGAAACTTCTGGAGACCTTGTCTCAAAGTAAGAAGTAAGAGAGAGCTTGGGGATGTAGCTCAGTTTACAAAGTGCTTACTCAGCATGCACAAGGCCTTGTGCTAAATACTCAACATCATACACAAGTAACTGGGGCAGGGGAGAGGATGGTGGGAGGACTGCTAGTTCCAGGCCAGCCTGGGTTACATAGCAAGACTCTGACTGGAAAGAAAGAAAGGAGAGGAGGGGTGTGAAGGAGAGAAGAGATGACAAGAAAGGAGTACCAGAGGAAGAGAGGGGAGGGAAAGAACACTGGAGATGAAGAAGAAAGGAGGGCAGAGCTGTGGGAAGGGAAAAGGACTAGGGGCAGGAAGTGGCCAGGGAAAGGCTTGCAGGAGGCCAAGGCCTGCGCAGACTGGTAGGAGATCTCAGGAGGAAGCCACCTTGCAAGACTGCTGGTGCATGTTGAAAGTGCTGACGATGCCATCCGTGACCTCGCGGCCTGAGCGCTCCACTAGGTACTCGGCTAGCCGATTGGTCAAGTAGGTCTTGCCGGTGCCACTGGGGCCGGAGAGCACCAGGCGCCTGTGCTTGAGCAGGAGGCTTATGTAGTGCTGCATCATGGGCTTGGGGATGAGAGTCTCGAACACCAGGCTGTCCACACACTTCTCCTTCAGACCTGCACCCCACCCCAGAAAGCATGAGTCTTCACCAGCCCGTGGGGTAGCAAGACACCCAATGAGCTTTCCCATCACCATGCAGGGGTCCACTGAGGAAAGTCAGAGACACCTGTCTTTTCCAGAGAAACCCCCTCACCCCCAGCTCTGAAAACCTGGACCTCATTTTTAGGGCTATACTATGAGCTCTACAGGAGAATGGGTAGAGATAGAAGCCTGAGTTTGGCAAAAACATCAGACTGGATCTCACTAATTTTTTTTTTAAATTTCCTGTATTACCCAAGATCCTTCACGTTAAGAATTTCTCAACAATTTCTTGTTACATGAACATATGATGCATTATCTGGCAATCTTCTCCTGGCCACCATGCTACACTACGTCACCCCGAGGGACAAAGACTGACCTTTGAGGGCGACGGATATGTTATTGACACCTCGGCGGCAAGGAGGCATCTCTGGGGGCTCAGCGTCCAGCACTCGTTTCACGTGGCTCAGACTGTAGCCGTGTATGGACTCAGTGCTTAGTCCCAGGGTGGAAGCTGGGTCCATTTTAGAGATGTAATCCTGATGGGAGAACAAAGTGCTGAAAAGACACAGCTACAGATGGAAAAGCCATAAGAAAGAACAAATACCGTAGGCAGTAAGGGAGGTGTAGGAAGACCAGGCGGTGTGCACCCTTCTACTCTGCCCTCCTCAATAAAGCACAAGTTCCCAGGATCCCAAGGCCTGGATGGCTGATGGCCCCTTAAGAAGATGAGCAACCTCTGTGGGTGTGAAGATCATCCTACCTTGAACACTTGGAAAACGGCTTCATCCAGCATCTTCCAGTCAACTTTGCCACTGACCTTGCTGCAACCCAGGAAGAACTCCTGCTGCTTTAAGTCCTGTAAGGTTAAGGTTGAAGCGTGTGAACCTCAGCAAAGCTGACACGAGAAAGGGGGATCGTAGAACGCCTCGGGAGTTGAGTACTCTAGTTGTGCAAATATTCAGAGCTCTTATTTTCTTGCACAAGGGTGATGGTACACAGGTGCTCCTCTACTTTCTGTGACAGCAACCCCCAAGAGAGGAGGCAGGAAGATCAGAATGTTAGGTTAGCCTCTGCTACATAGGGGGTTCAAGCTCAACTTGTGCTACATGAGACCCTGTCCTCCTTTCCCCAGCCCCACAATAAACCATTATGAGTCGGGACTGGAGAGATGGCTCAGCGGTTAAGTGCACTGGCTGCTCTTCCCGAGGTCCTGAGTTCAATACCCAGCAACCACATGGTTGCTCACAACCATCTGTAATGGGATCTGATGCCCTCTTCTGGTGTGTCTGAAGACAGTGACAGTAAACTCATATCCATAAAATAAATAAATAATCTTAAAAAACCAAACCAAACCATTATGAGTTAAGATATTGTGAGTTCAAAGTGTACTCAGTATACTTAAGCCAGGGGAGCCTTTGCTGTTTATTCTCATGGTTGTGTGATTGGCTGGGAGCTGTGGCTCATTGTTCTCATCCAGGCTCTCGAGTATTTCAAACCACATACCACTAGCCCCAGGAACAGATTGAAACTCAGAATGTGAGTACAGTTTCTACTAAACACACGTTGATTTTGGACCAGTGTAACCTGCGGCCATCTATATCAAGCTGGTTCCTACACTGGCCTCCCTAAAGTCCCTTACCCCTTTGATGATGTGCTGGGGCGGCATCCGGACCACCACCCGAAGGGTCACTTCTTCCTTTGGACCACAGGTGCTGATGCCATCCATGGGTGAGAGGTCTGTGGAGATTGAAAGGGACCAATTGGTTTTAAGGACTCAGCCTTACTTCAAGTTTCCTTTCCAAATAATGATTCCTTATGTATGACAGAGGACCTGGGAGCCCCAGCTCAAAAGGCATAGAGCTAAAATCATAACAACTGCTTCTGCTTACTGACAACATAATCTCCTTGAGTTCAACACCACTACCTCCTGGCTCAAGGATGCTACAGGTGGAAGGATGCCAGTGGGCCCTCTCTTTTTGCCCACACAAGTTCTTCTCAAGCAGGTACCTGTGTCTGTGAGACTGGGACTGAAAGGATGGCTGAGTGCAAGGCCCAGGGAACGGCGAGGGGATGACAGAGCAGATGACCCAGGGACCTGCCCTGGAGTGGAGCCTGACGAGGGGCCGGGGGCAACCTTCAGCCGGTCATTCTCTGCTTTCAGCAGGTCCACCTCCAGCTGTGGGCAGAAGAGACAGGGCAGGCGGGAGGGTGGCAGAGAAGTCAGGCCCTGCCCTCCTCTCCTTCAGCTCTGTTCAGACACTGACCTGCATATTGTGCATGGTCTCCCGAAGCTGGTCCAGCTGGTGGGCAGAGTTGAGGGCCTCCAACCGGATATCCGTAAGCTTCATCTCTTTTTCCCAGAGTTCAGAGCGCAGTTCTGATACCTCTTTCTTCTCTGGCTCCTCCTCCTCATTGGCTTGGAACAGTCTAGTGTGGGGGACTGAATGAGCAGGGGTCCTGTAAGAAAGCAAGAGTCAGCCTGGATTCCACAGAAGCACTGGGTAATAGGAGATATTGACATGCCTGGCCTATAGTCCTATTTCCTTCTGTTTAGAGACTTTCAATTGGTATGTCAGGAAGGGTCTCTCTGTGGGTCTCACACGCCCAGGGAAAGGCCATACTTTTTTTTTTTTTGGTTTTTCGAGACAGGGTTTCTCTATGTAGCCCTGGCTGTCCTGGAACTCCCTCTGCAGACCAGGCTGGCCTCGAACTCAGAAATCCGCCTGCCTCTGCCTCCCAAGTGCTGGGATTAAAGGCGTGCGCCACCACCACCCGGTGGGAAAGGCCATACTTATGGTGGCATGTGTCAGAGTCTGTGGGCTTACTACTAGCTCCAGCCAGCCATTTACCAGGGTAGCTGGTGTATAGAGTACTTACTCGGTGACCTCGGTGCCCACAGAGGACGAGTTGGAGGACTTGATGGAAGGGGAAGCAGTCTCTGTGGAGCCATGCTGGAGTTTGGGGGATGATGGGGCTGAGGAGTCGGGTGTGGCAATCTCCTCAATGTCAGAGTAGGAGGAGGCTGACTTGGGACCCTTTTTAATACTGAAGGCTTTGTTGAAGGAACTCCGAAGCTAGGAGAGAGCAGATTCCAGGGAGAGAGATGTCAAGGCTGTGTGCTGGGATGGGGAGAACAGCTTTAGGGCTGGGACAGGGATGTGGAGGCAGAGGATTTACTTTTATGACACCCACTTCATGAAGTGTTGCTTGATTGTTGGCATGTGGACATAGGAGTTATCTAGAAATCAGGACTGAGAACAAATTACAGGGCTGAGAAACTTGTTAGGTCCATGAAGGGAACTGTGTCCCGCATGTCAGCAAACAAAACAAAACAACCCAAACCCCTCCCCAGGTGTCAGGTGGTACCCTGCTCCATAGTCCAATTTCATCTTCTGACTTGGGCTCATTATCCAAGAATCTATTCATCTCTTCACAAATCAATCAGAAATTGACAATATTATTCTGTGAAGATCCAGAGAAGCAAGTTTCATTTAGTATTTCTTGTTCTCAGCACACAGCATAGAGGTTATTGCTTTAAAGACTGGGTCTCATGTAGACCAGGCTAGCCTTGAACTCCGTATGTAGTAGTGGGTGGTCTTGAACTCTGGATCCTCCTGCCTCTACCTCCCAGGTGCTGAGATGACAGGTGTTTACCCCCATGCCCAACTTTCATCATTGTCTACTATGCCAAATGTCCTAGGACAAGAGCTATTTCCCAGCCAGTCTTTGGCTACATGGGGCATTCAAATCTGACCACAGCTTGTTTGATTTGGGGGTCAATGAGCTTTGGGTGTTAGGGATGTGAGCTAGATATGCAAGCCAAGGACCTGACCCACACCCATTCACATGCCTGCAGACAGCATGCATGCACACACACACACACACACACACACACACACACACACACGGACATAGACATGGAATGGCAGCAAGAGACAGAGAGTAAAGGAGAGGTCAAAGGCTATAGGGGACAAAGGTAAGCCAGATCTTTGGAATGTGAGAAGGGGGTGGCAGGATCTGAGCTGTCTCCTTTCAAGTGTCTTTCTTAGAACATGTCTGAAGTCTCTTGTGAGCTTATGGAGCTAGTACATGGTGTGTGTGGAACTTCTAGGTAAACCATGAGGACCAAGCTGACTGGGCCGAGTAGGTGAGAGTATGTGTTCAGTTGGCTAGGATGTATTATCATGGAGGGCTTCAAAATACCATAAAGCTCAGCTGTCTGTAGAGACAAAGAGCTGAGAGTGACTGACTCAGCACTGTATCTTAAGGAAGACATTCAGGTTTCCTGATTTCTAACCCTGTCGAGTTTTCTCCACAGCAGTATCATGGGAGTCAGTCTTGTCTCTGTCTCCTTCCCTTTCTAGAAAGAAGTTCTGTGACCACAGCCAGCCCATAGCATGAGTGCGCTGTACACATTATACTTTGGACAGTAGTCTTCTATGTGAACTTCAGTATTCTGACAGTCAGGGCTGCAAGGAGCCATTTGCTCTGTCCCTAATGCCTCAACCAGTGTTCTAAGCAGAGAACCAGGATTCTTTGCTAAGGAGGGGGTGCCTTAGAACTTTCCTAGGACAGATATGCTAAGTAAAAATGCAGTGCTCTTCAGAGGATGCTGCTGCTGCTGCTGCTGCTGTCACCACCTTCTGAGGAATATCCCAGTGGATTGGGGATCTGCACAGCACACTTTGGGAAATGCTACTCTAAGAATCCAGCTTTAGATAACTAACTGGCTCTTCATGTGTGTGCACCTGCTATATATAATAGCATGTGGAGGTCAGAGGGCAACTTTGAGGAGTCCACTCTCTCCTTCCACCTTTATGAGAGTCCAAGCCAGGCCTGGAATTCACTATGCAGCCCAGGCTGGCACTGAACTCATGGTGTTCCTCCTGTCTCAGACTCCCTAGTCTTGGGATTTAGGTATGCGCCACCAGGCTAGTAGGCGTCAAACTGACTAGGGCAGTGGGTTCAGCTTTTCCCCATCCTTTACAATCCTAGCACCATGATGGAAGGTTAGAGTAGGGCTCACATATCTGTTTTAGAATAGAAATTCTGAGCCATATTCTCTTTGCCTTGGAGAATCCTCTAGTCCCTGAGATGGTCTCAGAAGCTCCATGGTCTTTGGGGTGACAAGTATCTCTTCTCCTGGATGACATAAATTCCTCACCTGTCCCTAGTTCATACTATTTTGAAGCTAAAATTTGGACTAGGCCCAAAATGACCAGGCCTCTAGATCCCGTTATAACTTTCAGTCACTGGTCCTCTCCATTTTAGGCCTCTACATGAGTGAGACAAAAGTAAAAAGGCTCATTTCTAGATAACAAAAGCTCAATGTGCCTGCTTGGCATAAAAGGCTGATCTTGGAACAAGGGAAGATGACAGACAATAGATTTGGATTTTGTCAGGATTTCCCATTTGACCCCTAAGCAGACCCCTCCTCTGTCCTCATGAGGGGCAGTGTGGATGGACCATGCAGTGGAGTGAGTTAGGAACTAGGGGGCAGTTGGGGTTATGAGTGGCCTTTTTTTTTTTTTTTTTTTTTTTTTTGAGAAGGTACTTGCTGTAGAAACATGAGGGTGTGCAAAGGGAAAGAAAAAGCACAGGGAGAGGAACCGAGTTTCTTACCTCATAAACCTGGAAAAAAATAGGGATTTGAGGTCAGCATTTTGAAGGAAATAAAAGGAAAAAAAATGAAAAGAAAGCAGCAGCAGCAACACTAATCATGCACTTCACACAGCTGTTTCTCCACACAGCTGGCTCCTGTCTGCACTAGCTCAAAGTCTGTGGCCAGCCCTCCTCGGCAGGAACAGGGACAAGATGCTCACTCTGGGCCACTCTCCCTTTCAGTCAGTCAGGCAGTGCCCTACACCTGCATACAGATTGTAGCAAGCTCATCCAAAGCCAGTTTAGAGTTACGGGGGCAGGGGGTGGGGGGACACGACACACATAACAAACCCACCTCTGGACAAGACAAAGGCAGGCTTTGAAGCGATATGGAAGTTCCACAGCCTCCCCTCCCAAACTAAGGCAACAGCCGCCAGGAGTGTCTAGAGTGTGCTGCTTGGCTTATAAATTCTCTCCACATGCCACCCCCCCACTCCCCACCCCCCATGAATATTTTCTCAGCTCCTTCTGTGGCCAAATACATTTGACCTCATCAGTATGTAGAGCCCCAGGATAGCAGAAATGTATAAAGGCTGCGGGGACACTGGTGGTGGTGGGGTGCAGCGTGGTGGTAAGGGAGGGGGACAGTGGTGGTGGTGGTGGGGTGCAGCATGGTGGTAGGGAGGGGGACAGTGGTGGTGGGGTGCAGGGTGGTGGTAGGGGAAGGAGACAGTGGTGGTGGGGGGGTGCAGCGTGGTGGTAGGGGAGGGGGACAGTGGTGGTGGTGGGG